CCCCCAGCAGACGAGAGACACCGGGAGCAAAGCTGCAGCTGCGGTCCCGCGGCTCTGAGGCTTTGCCAGAGCAAAGCCTCAGCAGACCAGGGACACTGGAAGCAGCTTTTCTCGCCCTGGAGGACGCGGTGGCGGGACCGCTGCACTCTGGGCGGTCCCACCGCCCGCGAGCTCCAGGGCGAGAAAAGTCCCGTTCGTAAGTGCGGCTCCGAAGTCGGATCCGTGTAAGTCGGGGACTGCCTGTATCAGAGCAAGACATGCTGATATTACTTCAAGGAAGATAAAGGCTAACCCTCCTTCTTTTAGAAGCAGCATGTAGTTCATAGTCTTTGGTATAAGGGTCTCAGTTATTCACATTGTTTTGAGATACCTATATGAAAAATCTTTGCCATTCTTTAAAAGGATCTCCTGAACCAACGAGGAGCAGTCTTTGTCTATCTTGCTCAATAAGTCAACATTCAGACCACCAAGCACAATATGGATCCCAGTGTAATATTTGTCCCTGGTTCTAAGACAGCATTTACAGGCAGATGGGAAGTCATACTGGAGTGGGGGGCAGCTGGCAACAAATGGAGAAGATCCCACAGCCAAAATAGTCTCAGCTTGGGATAACTGAAATGTGGAAGCACGCATCCTTCAAATCAAGGGTGGCGTACCAGTCTCCTAGATTGAGAGATGGAATGATGGAGGCTAACGTCACCATCCTGAGCCTTGAATTACTTTTGAAAGCATTCTGAGCCCTCTGAGGTCTAGGATGGGGCGAAGGACCCCTTTGGATTTCGGGATGAGAAAGTAACGAGAATAAAAACCTTGCTCCTGAATGCGAGGAGAACCTCTTCTACAGCCCCCAAAGACAGGAGCAAAGAGACCTCCTGAAGAAATAAGTACTCATGAGAGGGATCCCTGAAGAGGGACAGGGAAGGAAGGAGGAAAGGAGAGGAATGAGATAGAATAGCCCCTCTGCACCATGTTGAGGACCCAGCGGTCCAAAGTGATGGAACACCAAACAAGACAGAGAGAGAACAGCCTATGTGAGAAGGGGCAATCTAGCACTGGGGCTGGTAGTCCGTCCTCAGGCGCACCTTCAAAAGCCCAACCTCAGGCCCTAGGACTTATTAGGGGGTCCTTGGTTTTGGTTAGAGGCTAATCAAGGGAGCCTCTTAGGGCCCCTGGCGTTATTCCCCCTACTCCTCCATCTGCTGTCAAACCTGAGGCCTTTTTGGTACCCCCTCTGTGACCTCGGGTTCAGCAAGCAACACTGCTGGGCGGGGGTATGAATATCCAGGGACTTCGGCATCGCCCTAGAATCCTGAAGACTGTACAACTTGCTATCAG